TTTATAAACACAACCCGTACGAAGGACGGGTACACAGCTAGTTCTACATACAAGTGTTACACAAGAATCGAAGAGTTAAAACTTCCTACGATAGAAAGACTTACTAATAGACAAAGTAATGAATACCATGATGCAGAATTATTATAATTGATCTTTAATAGCGTTGCAGGTGAGATAAATAACTTATTTTACAATTACGTGATTAACAATATCATACAAGGATAAAATATTTAATAATAATATAGTTCAACACTAAGTATGTTTTTGTTTAAACAAAAATATAGATAGAAATACCTTTTGTGCTTTACGTTTATCCGCCCTTTGATTTTGATGATAAATTCGAGAAAAGTTTGAAACAATAACTGGAACCGGAAGTGCAATCACAAGTACACCACTCAGGGAGCAGACACCGCCTACAATTTTGCCCATAATTGTAGCTGGAACCATGTCACCATACCTGTGTGACAATAGAAAATAATATATTTATCTATAGAAAAAATAGGGTATTCATAATCCCAATGGTAGAAATTACACTTTGTTTTGTGAATAATGTTTTAACCAGTTCAAATAAACTCATACAAGTTGATTAATAAGATGTAATTTACTTCCAAATAAAATACTTACATATTTATTCTGAAATTTATTTAGATAATTTTCATTTTCTTGCTGTTGTGCTGAATGATACTGTCATGGATTCTATGTCATAAAATACGGTAGTGGTTCATAATAGGGATCGTCTATTTGTTCTCTTTCTTTGTTATTATTATTGTTTTGCCAGCCTACAGCAAAAGCCGGTGCGAATATTACCATCAAATCCGGACAGTATTACTAAACGGATCATTGCGCATTGAGTAGGGCACTTTTAAGTTATTTTCATATTTTTAATAAGCTAAAAAATAATAATTCTAATAATGAGATATTACCCCTTTAAGCTAGTTTTTTAAATATATCTGGTGTTCTTTTTAGAAGCTTAAGTATAGGGTGAGACAGGAATTATCAGCCAATAATAGATGAACATTAGATGAGTGTAACATGTAGATACTCAATGATTTGTACACCATACAATCAGTGTCTTTAGGGAGCGAACCCCTATGTTATGTATGAAGTGGAGTAAAAAAACAACAATAAACATAGTATTAAATTTTATTACACACATTCATAGAATAATTACTTTAAAATACACGATGGTCTATTTAAAGCGATATCTTAGACGTATGTGTTTAATTTGAAAAGGCTGCTTTTCTATTAGCAAAATTTGATACGTGCTTAGTGTGGGTTGTGTCTTCGTCTAGGCATATATATATGCCCATTGCTATGCGTTATATATAAAGAATAGTTACACAGAAACTATATATGCTCATTATATTTTCAAACAAATCTGCATGACAACCTTCAACTGCAGTTAAATTGTTACATCTCAAACTAAGGTGATCAAATAGTCAATAGCTACAGTAAATCACCATTAACCGTATCATCTAGTCTCACACAACAAAAATCTTTAAGCCGTAGTTTAAAAGATAGCATCAAGCCAAGTTCCGAACATCAGATCGAAAACCAAGGTGATTGCCTATCCTAAGTGACGAATTATAGCCCACACTGCTTGATTGTGAATTCTATAATTCTATAGAAACTACAGATAGAGTAGCCATCGTTGAAGCTGACTATAAGAAGTGGCAAAAATCTTGCAAACAGGAGATGACGAAAATGAGGCGGAAATTTTGTAGCTATATATTTTATTTAGAAAATAATTAGTTTCAGATAAAGTATGCAGTAGTGACATCCCACCAGAGTTTAGGTCATCACAGTGGAAAAAGATCGTAGATCCAAACTCCATCAGAAATGGGTGGGGGGAAGGTATATTAATCTAATCAACTTATAATTGTTAATTAACATGTTTTCGACCTTGTAGACTGTGCAGAATGTTACTCTAATAGGATATCTGAGGAGTTGCATCAAACCGTGATCGGCCTAACTATGGCCAGCAGAGAGGAAGGGGGGAATATAACTATAAGAAATATTAAAATTGCTTATTTGTATATATACGCTATTATATTACGACACATTTTCTTATGCTTGCCTTGAATATATATATGCATACAACTATACAACTTGAAAAATTTACATGGTTATCTATCCATCTCTCTCTCTCTGATTCTATACATATATATATACGACTTTACAACTTGGAAAAAACTGTATATATGCAGTTACAAATACTAGCCAATATGCATTACATGTGCATGCAAGTATAAAACTTATGCGGTTTCAAAATTCTGTTCATGCACCATTCCAGTATAGTTCATTAGTCCTTCCGATCCAGTGTTTCCCATATAGCTACAGGATATACATATAGTAGCTACATATATATATATATATTACAAGCATATACATAACATGTATGTTGATCATCATGTATCATAGTGATCATACATACAGTACCACTATCAAAGATAATGTGGTTATGATAACAGCAGCAGTTGTCATCCAATCTGTATGAAGTTAATCCAAAGATTGTCATTGTTTCCCAACAAAGCATCATACAGCAACTATGTATTTCATTAAACAAAATGCTTCAAACAGGATAGTATTGCTATCATACGCATTTATGTCTATGATGGGCATAAATGTAAAGAAACAAGATTAATAAAAATTGTTAATTTAAAAAGGAGAATATGGACTTAAAATACAGAAACAAGATAGCTAACTTGAAGTGACAATGCAGTCGCAAAAAGGAAAAAAAACAAGCGTAAGGTTTGACAAATAGTGTTGGCATTATTTCTTTAAACTACAGATCCCTGTTTTAAATTCATATCTAAAAGTTGTAATATTTAGGAGAGTTAAAATAGGGATTTGTAGCTTGAAGAAATACTGTCAACACTATATTTCATTTTCACTTTAAGGTAGCTATCTTGTTACTGTAATTTTTTTACGATCTCTATTCCCCTTTTTAAATAAACAATTTTTAACAATTGTGTCGTATCTTACGATACCAAGCAACATGTGATGCGCTACTTTTCCGGTGGGAACTAAAGGTACATTGTCATTCCGCTGCTAGACCTATAACTTCTGCAGTAGTTAACTTCACGCCAAACTTTTCCTTGCATGTAGCTTTACTTTCTTCTCCTGTTGTCTGTCTGTTATATATCTGTCTCACACAATTTATATGTTTATCACTTAAGCGTCTGGCCTTCTAGAAATATCTATATTCTCGACGTCAATGTATTGCAAGTGACGTTCGATAGTCTCAGCATCAATGAATTATAAACATAACTTCCTACAATCGTCTGCATTTAACTCTTATTATAAGAAAAACTAAACAATAATATAATATTCAATCACAAAAATAAATTCATTAATAGTATCTAAACTAAACAGTCTTTTATATCATGACAATTTTACTGTGTCAATGATCTCTCTGAAGACATACTGAGATTATGTAAACATGACGACGACATAGGCCTAATGTTTAATATCTTAGAGTAAGACTAAAAGTAGAAAATGAGATAAGAAAAATTATTATTCCATCAAAGCATGGTTCTAAAGTAATTGAATCAGCCTGAGTGCACTTTGACAAAAGGAATAGAGGATATTTTGAAGAAAGAAGACCAAACGATTACGGTAACTAGCGCCACAATTGTAAGTGAATCCCACACAGAATTCTAGTGCGATAGTAATAGAGAAGATAATGCGGCTTGTTAACTGAAATTCTAAAGTAATTGAATAGGCCTAAGTGGACGTTTGACAAGAAGAAGAGAACTATACATATAGTGTTTATGATATGCCTCTAATCTCGATAGTGTGCTGTTTATTCATCGTTGAACTTATACTCAACAAGTCACAGACACCTACTTTAGAAGGATCCTAAGCCCAACAACAACACAGTATATATTTATACTACTAAGAAGTATAAGTAAAAGCATTTTAATTGACAATTGGCGACCATACCATAACTATAAAATCTGACAAAGATATGTCCGTGTGCCTTTAATTTTCTTGGTGTTTATCTTTTTTATCAAGTGTTCCGTGTATTCATTATCATGAAGGGTTGTAGTGATATATTGTTCGTCCTTTTCATACCAAAAATCCCAAAAGCATAAAGTCAGAAAACCATTGAGAAACTCCACCACAATACTAAAACACCTAAAGATCCAAAGGAGAGAAAAAAACATCATTTACAACATCCCTTGTGAATGTGGACTCCAATACATAGAAGAAAGAAAAAGTCCAACAAAACTTAGAATTTAGGTGTATAATAGACATAGAAGATTCTGTAATATACCGATCTATCTACAATAACCCATAATGCCAGAGAAGAAATAATATTAGGTTAATGGGATATGAACCACACACGAGAAAAAGAATAACAAAAAAGGCTTTCCACGTCCATCTAACTGACAACAAATTCAATAAACCAAGCTAGTAAAACCTGGATACCACTCTTGAAACATTCAGATTAGTTAGTTGATTCAAGTCCTAATGGTGAAGACCCCAAACGAATGGATAGCACACCAGTCTCTTTATTAAGAAGACCTGGTATCGAATCCTAGCCACCATTAGAGAAATAGTTCTTCCCAGAACTTCCATGAAGCAGTATAAAAACTAGTTTGTAATTAGTATCTCGTCGTATAATAATATAAAAATTTAACAAATTATTAATTAGATTGAGGTGATCAAGGCTGCTAACGTTAGCAATGACTGACATTCGTTCGCCACGACCTTACCGTAAATACATATTTCTATTGTCTTGCCTTACTTACCAGGTTGCTGAATTATACATATGATTTTTAAGAGGCACCCATCTAATTTACGAAGAATATGAAGTTTTGAAACAGCTATCTGTGGGATAATAGATTTAGTTCTGTACAGCTCTAACAGTGAGACTTGTACCTTAAACATTGTACGTGACCATGTCTCAATGCTAGAGACGAAACGCTGTCCAAAAATTTATCTATTATCCAACAAATATCTGTTTCGAAACTTCAGGTAACATATTTGTTATCTTATAAACGTATCAACAAAGACTTATTATATAATTATTATTAAAAGGTAAATTAAACTTATAGTCCGTGTAAGAAATTCCCAACTGGTTTAGTTAGTACAAAACATAATCACCAGATAGAACGTATCTATAAATCGATATTTCTTTTCAGTCATGAAACATGAATTTCAAGTACTTAATTACTACGGTTGATTTAGAACTATTACAATATTAGTTCATTCAGCTTGTGTTATATATTCTATAAATATTTCCTATAAAATCTGGTTACATCAGCACCCATAATTTTTACGCTTATATTTAAATTAAAGCTAAATATGCTTCTAGTTTGTTTTATGCGTTTACGTTTTCTTTTGAATAGACACCCAAGTTTAAACTCGTATTTCTCTAAGCCTAATATAAATCTACTTTAAATTCATCCAACCACATTATGTATATATATATAAGGACTCCATTTTCAT